TTCGTAATTCCTCACTTTATGCACTTTTTGAAATAACTTGAAGTAGTATACTATGCGTGAAGATAAAAGATATTTACACATTTAAGTAAAAGACAGTTTACGACCTCCCCCAATGTCTTACCACATGTCAGCTACTAGTAGCTCTGAATTATGGAGCGAATGAATGCGATGGAACAAGTTTTGAAGCGTTGGCGCGTCCACTGCGTGCTAAAGTCAAATAGTAGCTCAATAATATTGAAAAACATAACACAGTTGTCTAATCTGCAGTTACTACATAGTCCATCTTAACTCAATAAAACTGCTCTATTAACATTAAATGATTGAAATCGACGTACTGGAATGCAACTTACACTTTGTGAAACGCCATATCTCTTTTCGTTTCCTTTGAAATCAAATCTTAATATATGAACAATTTGTACTACGTGAAACGAAATGAGAGAAAAACGATTAGTGAGTAAGTTAACGTAACTAGTATATGATGTGTTTAGTAAGCAACTAATAATAAGAACACTAAACTGTAACTAGTACTAGTAATAAAGATTGGACTGCAGGATTAACAAGTGGGGTCCAGTATCGTTGGGTCAAAAAGCTCCTCGTTACTCACAATACAAAATTCCCGCCAGCCTGTTCTCCACACAAATGAACACCAAGGGCAACTCTGTCATTTACCGTCCATTTCCCACCACTCCTGGCCGGCTCCATGTGAATTTGTAGTACTAGTACTTCTTTTGCTTTACATGTGTCATGCGGATCACACTCTCACCAAAGCGCGCGTGATTCATTTTACACATTTTCCTTAACTCATTATTTTAGTCAATTCCAATGCTGATTACATTTGTTCGTGATAACTTTTCTTCATGCTTATTCATTACAACTTGCTTTGGTACTATGAGTAATCATCAAAAGCAAGTGACGTCTATGCAAAGTTTATGTTATCATTATGTAACAACCGGTTTGCTTATAGAAATATATTTTGTTATAAAAGTAATGCCCGCACTAACATTCCACAAGGCCTATCAAAAAAATTACAACTGCTAATAAACATTTAACTATAAAAAACTAAGGAAAATAGCAATTAAAAATCATTAAATGGTCAATCTTAATCGGTACAAGGAACAACTAACCCCCAACCCCCACTTTCATAAACAATTATCAAACTCTCCACCCTGTAAAAAATAAAAATCATCAAAACTAATAACAAAAGAAAGAAAAAAATTAAATAAAATACATTAAAGGGAATAATAAAATACACATTAATTGGACCACCACCACCGGAAAGACCCATAGAGAAAATATCGCGCCAAACGCAGAGTAGGCATAAGAGCGACCCACCACCTTGTCTTGTCCTTTTCTTTTCCTTTCTTTATGATCTTTAATTTTAATTTTAATTCAAAAACAAATACTTTACTTTTCATTAAAAAGTTTTACTACGGTGTACGCGATCTAGGTGGAGTCCTTGTCTGAGGTGGAGTATGACCCTCGGATCCTTTAGAAGGATCATCCGACGACTGACGAAGACCCTCATCCGTTTCACCGCGATTCATATCCTCAATCATGCGGACCACGTCTTGCATGCTTGGTCTCTGATCAGGCACCACAGAAACACAAGCCATCGCTATCTGCAACAACTGAACCATCTCTTCTTCGATATTGTGAAACCTCATCAACTCAGCGTCAAAAACCTCTGCGGTCCATTCTTCACGAACAACGGATTGGACCCACCTCGGTAGATCGATTCCCTCTTCGCCTAGTGAAGCTTGATTGGGTGCTTTTCCTGTTAATAGCTCCAACAGCAATACGCCGAAGCTGTATACATCAGACTTGAAGGTGACTTTTCGGGTTTCTAGGGTTTCCGGTGCACGGTAACCGGCGACCCGGTTTGATGGAGATCCGTTTCCGAATAACGGGTTGAGACCAAAATCCGAAACGCTTGCGTCATTGTCGGCTCCACGGAGGAGGATGTTGGAAGATTTAATGTTGCCGTGGACTACTTTGCCTGACACGTGGAGGCATGCTAGTCCTCTTGATGCTCCCAGTGCTATTCTCATCCGGTTGTCCCAATCTAACGGTGTTCGCCCAGATCCTCTGCTACCTATATATAACCATAGTAGTAATTGTAATTAAAAAAATGCAGTAAATGTATATTTTAATATTTAATTAATATAAAAATGATATTTTAACTAATCAATATCATATGATTTATGTCAACTGCTAAAGTAACAAATCAATCTATTTTTGTTGCTATTTTCGTCTCATAGTCACATGGCTTCTAGCAGTTTTAATTCAGCAAGATATCATATCACAATGCAATAATTTTTTCAATGTCGCACAACGTAGTATAAAAAGCATGAATCTGAGGTTGTTGATTAGTTTTGAGTGTTGTTTCTCTTTCACTTTGAGTGAGCATAACGTTATTCAAAAGCAAATTTAAAAAAAAAAAAAAAGCAGAAATTCCGGTCGTCCTTTTTTATTTTATCAATCAGGGAGGGAAATAGTCAATGCGACACTACCTTTACTTTTCTCCATTAAAGGAAGAAAAAGAAAAGAACAAAGAACAAAATTAGGTAGAAATAATGTCGGAGAGACATATGATGAGTGCATTGGATGGGGAAGAAATACAACAATGGTAAATGAATTATTCAATAATAAAAAAATAAAATAAAAAACCTTACACCTCAATAATGTGATGAGTTGAGAATGTTTGCTTCAGAAGCATGTTCTACATTATTATGGAGGGAAAAGCATAACATCACTAACTTCTCATTTACGATACACTGTATTAAACAATATGGATTCATAAATTAATATGCAAACAACATTATGACATTAAAAATATCCTCCATCATCAACACACATACACTAAGCTAAGTACTAAGCTAATGAGCAGGCACATTATTTCACAACAATAAACAAATCCTACTATTAATAAACACTATAAAATATTTCTGTAATAGAAATTAAAATAATCTAAATTCCACTAGTGTAACAGCTGTAACAGGAATTTAGTCAAAATTCCAGAAACAGACAATGTTAATTCCATCAAAAAGGTATACTCCAAATATGAACATGAGGAAATGTCGGAAACACAACACCTCGAAAGTATAAAAATCATATCATATTCATGGAATATTGAATAAAACTTGTTCTACTGGAGTAGTATATTATATGAATAATGAATGATTAATCACTTAATTACCAGAAAATTAAGCATAATGATATTGATAATAACGTACCGTGAAGTAGAGCAGATAAGCTACCGGCGGGCATGTAATCATAAACAAGCAATTTCTCATCTTTAGAGAAGTAAAATGCTCTAAGAGGAACCACATTCTCATGCTTAATTTTACCCAGAATCTCCATTTGCATCTCAAACTCTTTCTTTGTTACAACAACATCTTTCAACCTCTTAACAACCACCGTTGTTCCTTCTTCCAACACCGCTTTATACGAAGTCCCAACGCTTCCCTTTCCCAAAACCTCCGCAGAAGCCCTAAGCAAATCTTCCAAATCGAAACTGTATATTCCTCCCTCAAAGAACACCAATTTGTTCCTCTCTGCTTCAGCTGAACCACCGGTTATATCGTCCTTGGAAGACGATGTTCCGGCTTCTGCAGGAGCAGCGCGAGCTGCTGCGACAACTGGCTTAGGTGGTTTCGCTGGTTGCCGGCGACGTTTCCGGAGACAGAGTAATAAGAGTAGTAGCAGTAACGCTATGAACAGAACGGAACCAACTACAATTGCGACAATGGCGCCGGTTGAAAGCTTCTTAGATTTCTTCCCCGGTTTAATCACCGGTGGTATGGAACCCGGTGACGGCGCCGGCGCTGGAAAAAACGGGCTGCACGATTTCAATGGTGGGCCACAAAGATTTATGTTTCCGGCAAAGGAAGATTCGGGGAATTTCGACAGCGTCTTGGGGATTGAACCATTGAGATTGTTGTTAGAAACATCAAAGCCGTTCAAATTTGCAGTAACGCTGGGAAGGCTACCAGAGAAGGTGTTATTCTCCAAGAAGAGGCCACTGAGGTGAGTCAAGTTGTTGATGGAGAAAGGAATTGAGCCGGAAAAGTTGTTGGAAGAGAGATCCAAGCGAGTCAAACGAGTTAACCGAGTTAAACTAGACGGAAACCCACCGGAGAATTTATTCTTCTGAAGATATATACTACGAAGAAAAGTCAAATTAGAGAAATCGGAAGGGATCTCACCGGTGAGACCATTAGAACGGAGACTGAGAACGCGAAGATTCGTTAGCCGTCCGATTGTGTTTGGTGGGACCCGACCCACAAGATCCACGGCGGGTAAACGGAGCGAATAAACATAGGAACTTGAAGCGTCGCATTGAACACCGACCCAGTTACAAACGGAATCAGAAGCGTTCCATTGAACACGGTTAGAGTGTGGTGTTTGTGAAATAAAAGCAAGGAGAGCTTGCTTGTCCTGAGTGGGCTCCGAGTTAACTCGGAAACTCAGCTGCAAAAATAAATGAAAAATAATAAAAATAATAGATGGCATTTTTTTGGTTGGATTGAAAATTAACGAAGATCGGGGAAGAATGTGACCATGAGGAAAACAGAAAAAGAGTGATAGGAATTATGTGAGTGAGAGAGAAGCTATGTAATGTGAAGAGAGAAGGTACACAGTAGTATAATAGTATCACGAGGTTCTCAAAAGTGAAAAACCAAATAAAGCTGATGCTACTACTCTTGTTTACTGGTCCAAACTCCTTACGTTTTTCCTTTTCTTTTAAGAATCACTTAATTTCGTTCACAACGCCTTTTCAGTTTTATCACTTCCCACGCGCTTTTCCACCGCGTGCAGGCCTTTCAAAAAATAATGCGTTTTTTGTATAACTAAATTATTGTTGCTGCTACCGTGAACAGCTTGCAAGCAAATTCATATTTAAGTGAGTTAACAAGTCTTTTTTTTGTTTGTTTTAACTTTGAGTTGTGTTATATGGCATTGGTATGGTCTTGGGAAGAGACGGCAATAAAAAATGAAGTGACAAAGTAAAACAAAGGTGTTTGTCGCTGATATGTTGTTGGAGGATAGAGGCACATGTAAGATGACACTTTCTTTTGACAGATGTAAGATCGGATTAGTATGTTCTTGATAATGTTTTGTTAGCTTGTTTGTGTATATAAATTTAGAAATTATTTTTGAAATTGAAAATTACTTGAATTATTGACTTTCTTTAGTATAATAATATACGGGATAATTTCATCTTGTCCCAAAAGAGGTATTACAAATTTTATTAAGGATAAGTAATATGGTATCCCTTGCTCATTCATCGAATCACTTGTTCATTGGTGTTAGTTACGCAAGTATATATTAGAATAGAGACAAATACATAAAAGATTTTATTCACGCAGTTTCACCTTAATTGTTTATGTTTAGTACTAAAGAATAGGTATAGTTTTGTCTTTGTTTTGAATTTTACACTTTAAAATTTCGGTATTAAAATAAATAAATAAAAACACACACAAAAAAAAAAAAAACACACACACACACACATATATATATATATATATATATATATATATATATATATATATATATATATATATATATATATATATATATATATATATATATATATATATATATATATATATATATATATATATATATATATATATATATATATATATATATTAAATACTTTTTTTCACTTGATATTACCTATGTGTCAAACTCAACAATTAGTTACATGACTCGTCCACTTATGAAAACGTGGGACATGATATTTCCTTAGTCAGATATGTGAAGAACAATTAAAGAAGGAAGAACACGTTCTCTAGAATAAGAGGGAAAATAACTGATCAATTTCCCACACTCTTGAGAGAAGAATACGATAACCAATCTTTTGGGTTCTAAAATTCAAACCTAAGAGATTTTTATAAATACGTCAGTCATAAGATTAAGAGAGGATATTAAATTCACTCAAAATTCGCCTAGATATAGAGCTCCTTGCCATCCTTGTGTGAGTTTGATATAACACCAACAACAACAAACCCAAAACCCTCAAATAATCGTACACAAAGAGTTGTCACTCATTATACTTTTAGCAAGTACAATTGGTGCCTATTGTGGGAGCCTAGTAACACTAACTTGTGTCACATTCATTATCATTCACCACTCGCTTCCGTCGCCTTCATCGAAAGGATGGTGAAACAAAGTCCAAAAGTCATCGTCAACACTATTGCATAAGGTTTTTTGGGAGGGGAGAATCTAGTTTTTTTGTCAAAAATATGCTAGGCAGGTGTTGATGGCGAGCATCATACCCGTCGACCTCGAAGTAGACTTGGAGAAGGATCTAGAGTCTAGAGTCATATTCTCCGACAAATACTTTATCGACGTTCTCTTTGATAACAATGATCTCATGATAATCATTGTGTAGTATGATAATTAGGATGTGAAATAAGTAGGAAGCTCATCAGATGTCTTATTTAATAGCGCCTTTGAGGGCCTTTGGCTTGACCCTGATGACATTCGAGCATTCCAAGTTCCTTAGTTGGTCTTTCAAGCAAATATGTGCAGGTGAAAGATCACATAATGCTCGAAACAAAGTTTAGTTTAGAGGTGTTTCCCTTGAAAATCGGAAAACAACCGCTGATCTTCCAAATCTAACTTTGGTGACTCACAGGATCGATCAGATTGATCCTAGGACATGTGCTAAAAAGGTTTTTTCGTTTTAAGAGGCTATTCAAGTTCCACACTCGAACAGTATTGGGATGAAAGATTCTTAAAGAACACTTATTCGACTACGGGATAACTTAAAGGTAAAATAAAGCTTTCAATAAAAGAGAAGAAAGTTTGTTGGGAGAGGTGAAGTTAGATTGAGGACGAAGAGAAAAGAATTGCATAGGAAGGAGAAAAGTAAAGTAAGGAGAAAAGGTGTAAAGACAATAAAAGACTTTGTAAAATTTAAAGAAAAACAAGTAAATTGCATTAAGTTAAAAGATGGTGTGTTTACATCACGTACATTCTCTACAATACTCGCTTTCTCTACACTCGGATACTTGGAGTAATTTTAAGAGTAATTTGTACAATAGTAAATTACAACACACTTTGGATATGTCTAAGACACCTTATTTATAGTATTAGTAGTAAAAAATAACCTCTAATAACCTCCATATCACCTCATTTCGCCATTTGTCGCAAATGCATGGATCTACTGCTCATAACGTGACACGTGTCTCCTTCAATATTCAACAAGCAAAATCGTTCCCTCCAATTTTTGAATTTCAAATCCTTCGACGAACCATCCCTAACAGCAAGCGGTCGAACTCCTGGCTTCTGGGTGAGTTCTTCGACTTCTTCTTTTGGCCACTTTGCCTCTTTCGACCACTCTCTCGTTCTCAACCTATCTTTGACCCTTTTATCTTGAATTCCTTCATTCTACATGAGGCGTCGAATTTAGGAACTAACAAATTGCCCCCAAAAAATGTCTTTTCGACTTCGAATGTGGAAAAGCACATTTTTTGACAGCGTCTGACCTTCGACGCCGCTTGTCCTCATGCGTGTCGTCTGATATTCTTTCAATCAATGCAAGTCTGGGAAGGTGAAAGGGAATGAAAGAGAAGCAAGAAAGATAACTAGGAACACGCAAGCTACTGTTCTGCCACCTTGATGGATGTTTCTGACGTCACTTTCATCATGGCTATTTTCTCGAAAATCAACAAAATCGTGGGCCATCATCACCCTTCCAACCTCGGGGACGTGAATTGCAACTGCTGCCTCTGCCATCCCATATCCAAGCGCACACGTGGTCCACTAACTCTAGCCCCTTAATGATGAAAACTTTCAGTCTTCCATACGTTATATAAGTAGTTTCCCTTTGATATTTTCATTTTTTCCAACTTCTCTAACTCTTCACACCATCCTTGCTTTTTTCCTCTAATTTTTCTGCTTCCCAACCAACAAACTCTTACTTCCTTCAAAAATGGCTGATCATCAAAAGAAGAAAATGCAACTCAAAGGACAAACTTCGGCATCAATGCTTCCTCCCTATGCCAGCTTGAGTGGTCCCCAGGTGGTAAAGAACCAACAGTTCATCCGCGAACCCTTGACGGAGGAGAAACGCCACATTTACGAATCTCAGGTAATCATTCATGTTACTGTTGCAGGGAGACCTTTATCCATGTCTAGGCCTTTACCCCCTCCAGGTCTTGACTATTCTGCCATTAAAGATTTCTTCCCCTCTTATAGAACCACTAAACCCTTAGGGCAAAAAGACTCTAGCAAAATTTCCACTGATGGTCCTGATAGCTTGAGCTTCTTCGACGTAGACCTTAGGTATCTTCATGATGGGGCCAGATTATTTAGGGTTACTCCCTATTTTAAAGATTCTTAACTTTATCTCAACTGGATGACAAAAATAGAGAAAGTAAAAGCCCAGGAATGGAAGGACACTGGGATTTACGATCTGATCATGATGTCGAAGGTAGGTCCTTCGTACTGCCCCCTTATATTGGCTTCTTCCTTATTCTTCTGGGATAGAACTCACAACACTTTCCACCTCTCTTGTGGGATGATGACACCCACTTTAATTGATGTAGCTGCCATTGTAGGCCTAAAACCCTACGGCCTTATTTATGATCCTGAGATTAATAGCCACGACACCATTGGTTTCACCAATACCAAACATACTTACACAGCTTTTGTCCAACATTATCATAATAAAACTAGCACCTCAGTTGACGACGAGGAACACATAGCCTTTTTGGCCATGTGGTTATCCCGTTGTGTATTTTGCACAAAATCCTTGCAGGTGGCGCGAAAGTATCTGGTTCTGGCCAACCAACTACATCTGAAGAGAGGCATTTGCCTAAGTGAAATGATTCTGGTCAGTCTTTATGAAGCCCTAGGCAAAGGTGCGAATAAGTTGAAAGATCCTGAAAGCCATGGCAACTTACTGTTGTCAGGCCCCTTTTGGCTTCTTCAGTTGTGGCTTAATGCCACTTTCGAACACAATCTTCCCAACAGAGGTGAAGTTGATGAAAGTTCGCCTTCAATCGCTGAGAGAAGAGTCGAATGGCCTCGCTTGGCTCAACTTACTCCTAGTGAAGAAGGCCATACTCTTCGATCTAATTTATCCAGCTTCGTTCATATGTTTGCAAAACGATATGAGTTTACCGCGAAGATGGCTCCCTTCGTAGAACGAAGATGTGGCCCATAGTGGTTTACCAGACCCTTCCCTGCTCCCTTAAAGAAACAAGAAGAGGAGTCAAAGCTGATTTAGGAGTGATTCCTCATTCCTCGACTACTGGTTCATAAACTAAACCTTGTTAGAGGTCACTCCAGCTTACTAGCCTACCAACCAAACTTGGTGTCCAGGCAATTTGGGTTGATACAAACCTTGCCCAAATGCCTGTATGACAAGAAATCACATATCATTCTTCCTTTAACGGTGCTATCTCCTCTGGACTGTTCGACACAACTGGCGCGCCACGCCCACAAGTCTTTCCTCACACCTGTCCACTTTGAACCTTCTTATTTTTGCTCCCAAGACT